TGGACCCTTAAAAAAGGGAATTATGCAGATAGCAGTTCGAATTTCTGCATTCTGTTTGATAAGTATTCGAATACTTTTCGTGTAGTATCCGAATACTTGTCCTCTGGTAGTCAAATACTCCTTCCAAGAGTATTGGGATACTTTTCTGGGAAGAAAAGTATTCAGATACCTTTGAGTAAGTATCGAATACTGGGTAGTATTCGAATACTATGGTATTTGTATTCGGATACCTTGTGGTATTCGGATACTGGGTGTAAAGTATTCAGATGCCTTGTGGTATTCGAATACTTGAGTGAAAGTAGTCGAATACTTTCTGGAGACAGGGAGTATTCTAATACTCATCGAGGAGTATTCGAATACCTCTTGCAGAAATTGCATGAAATGATTTAAAGTGAGTTGGAAAGCCTTAATCACTTAATGGAATCTTGAGCAATGATTATTGATGATTAATTATTGTATAAACAGATTGTGATTGTGTTGTTTGTGGGCATTGAGCTAGTGTGAGCTTGGCTTGGATAGTTAGCTTGCGAGGTAAGCTTTCGTGTCCTCGGTTTAGCCATTGTTGGTTCCACCATACCCCATGGGGGAATGGTTTATATGCATGATGTGTTTTCATGTATTGCTTTTGAAATGTTGTTGAGCTTTATGTGCAAGTGCTTATAATATGTATGTGTTGTTCCACCTAGACGGTAAGCCTGTGTATGTATGAGACATGCCATAGGGTGATTCTGTAGGTGGGTGTAAGTAGTGACTTGCACTGAATGTAGGCAATAGACGTATTTAAGTCCTGCATTTCTCTGGCCAGTAGAATAGTTGACACATGACATGATTATTCTGCTGCATTGCACTGATTTTGGAACTTATATTATATTCCTTCTTTTTGAACTTATATTGCACATGTAAGTGAGCTTGGGGTGGAGAAATTCTTGAGGACCCCTTGCCTTACTGAGATTTCTGTTTAGAGATCTCACCCCACGTTTGGGGCACATATTTCAGGTTCAGGTAACTCGGGGATTGAGACCTCGGGCGGCAGGAGGCCGGAGCTGATGTGATATGCTTGCTGTTATACTGTTATGCTTGGATGCTGACATGCTTTATGTTATTATTATGATTTTGTTGTTGAGACTCTGTTGGGCTTTGTTGCCTTATTTGGTGAGCATGGGGGTTGTCCATGCCACATTGATTGACTATGTTTTATTTAGATTCGAGTTGTATTAATGTATCAGGATATTGTCCGGACTACGTGTTGTAGATTCGTGACTTAGATACTCACTTATTTATATTATGAGGTTATTCAGTGTAGATAGCTGTGTATTTGCAATTACATACAGGCAATATTTTGAAAGTAATTAAGTAATCAACTTGGTGATGATTAATGACGTCATAATTGAAAAGCAAAAAGTTTTTGCGCATTTTTTGTTAAGCACTGCTTAATACGATGATATGATAACAAACCGGGTATACACGGGGTGTTACAACCATCATCTTTAAATTTCGAAAATATATGCTGGATGAGTGAGTTTTCTTGCATTCCAAGTAATGGATGTTGGAATGTTTGATATTGTATTAATTGAGTCCATGCGAAGATTAAAGCAAGTGGACCCTCATTAATTGATCAAGTATTGGTGGAATCAATGGAACTTGAATTGATTACTTGAGTTGAACCAAGTGAAGGTAGGTTCTTCACCTTGTGAAATGTCTTGAATTGCCTATATGTGTAGATGAAAATAGATGAATTCATGAATGCAATTGATTGACTGCATTGCACCTTGATGTAGGTGTTTATTGCGAAGTTTGTAGCTTTGAGAACAAGCTTTGTTGTTTACATTCTTGGTGGTGAGACAAGGATTGGGTTGGAAGCTATTGAGGTAAACCTTCGAACCTTGGAATTTATCCCGATATTGTTCCACCAAGCCCTGATGGGGTAATGGTTATTGTTAGTGTATGTAATTGTAATAGAGAGAAGTTTAGTTTATTGATATATGTATGTGTATGCTTTGGGTGTGGCATAGGATAATGTTTCCCTAAGTTTGGTATGTTGCAAGATGTTCTATGATTCATATATGGTAGATTCCCTGGCCAGTAGGACTATTTATATCTGAGAATTTAAGGAAGGCGAGAGTTCAAGAGGGATGCCTCATGGAGATATTTTACACACTACATGGATATGTATATATGTATTATTTACTATTATTGCTGTAACACTTGAAGTAAACACTAGGGTGGATGAATCTTTCAAAGACTGCTGGTTTACTGATATGTTTATCTCACCCCACGTTTTCGGGACCCCCCTTTAAGATATTGATGGTGCAGGAGCATTCGTTGGTAAAAGGTCACTGTACATATAAATTGTTGCATGTTGCTGCTTTTGTTATTTTGATATGCATATTATTTTGTATCATCATATGTATATGTTTTAGTTTGAAAACATGTGATGTATATTTTGGAACTCAACCCATGATCATTGTGGTAGTATTTGTCATATTGTTTATAGGCAAAGACTTTGATCATGTGTTGTAATAGCTAAGTTCTCTTTGGATGATTGTAATTGATATATTTGGACATGATGTTACTTGCATTTGATATATGTAAGAGATGTATGTTGGTATTCAGAGAGAGATGCATTGATGGACCATGTGATTAAGCCTAAAGTTGGCTGTATGTATGCTTTAATAATTGAACATCAGGTTTATTAGGTCCTATGTGAGTTTTGGAGGAAATCCCAAATCCCCTTAGTGTAGCAAAATTCTACCAAAATGCTTTTGCCCAGGGGAGGAATTGATTCCCATAGGTTGGGAATCAATTCCCAAGAAACAGGGGACGAAAAGTTGGCTACTGCCAAGAATTTTACACACTGGAATCTGTTCCCATCAAGAAGGGAATCAATTCCCTAGTTGAGGAATCTATTCTCATCAAGAAGGTAATCTGTTCCCTAGTTCAGGAATTTTTTCCCTTCAGGATTGGAATTGATTCCCTCAAGGCAGGGGAGGTATGTGAGATATTGCCACCCATTTTTAAGGGGTGGGAATCGATTCCCTAATATGAAAAGTGAGATTTTGTGAATTCTAAATGAAGTAATCAAGTGATCTTACCATGTATTGTTTAAACACTTATTGTAAAGCATGGTATAAGGTCTATAGATACATTAAAAAAATAGGCAAAATGGTAAGATAAACATGAATTATTAGGATTTAAGCTAGAAGAATGAGTTGCAACAAAAGAAATTCGAATTAAAATCCAAACTTGAAACCCAAGTCAGTTGCCCTATATATACACCCAAGGATACATGCTCATATACTTTTACACATTCATGTTCATATTTTCCCACTAATCAAGAGATTGTGAAGGGCTTCTAGCCCGGAAGGGAAGAACCTTAGAGAGATTCTCAAAAGAAAAATGAGTGACAGAGTAGTGTTGCGCGAGAAGCTCTGGGATTAGCTTGCTTTCCGTCTTTGTTTCTTTCCTCCTTGGATTTCTTCTTCTTTTTCTCTATTTTCTTTAATTCTATCATGAGTTAAACCTTTCCTTAGGTTGAGTGATATAGTAGCTATGTTGTAACATTGTAACAGATGCCTAAATTTTATTTTTATGGATATTTAATTAGTTTCTTAATGAGCTTTCTTAATTTTATTCTTGCTTTCATACTGAAAGGTACATAATTGATATAAAGAAGGTTAGGGCCCAGAGGTTTTCTGAATTCAGACCCTTGTTAGGTAGTGTGGATTAATTAAGTCAAAGAACTTAATTAAGTTGTGGGTACAGAGATGATTTACATCACAATGCCATTGAACTTGTTCTTCAATGAATTCAGTAGTTAATTCTAACATTGAGATATGAGGGTTAAGTTCTGGGTTATACATGTAAGGTTTACGAGAGTCCAGTGTTTTAAAACTCGGACCGGTCATCGAACCAGTCGAGGTACTGGGTCACTAGGTCACTGGTTCAACCGGGTTGAACCGGATTTATTGTTCACATATTAAAAATATAAAAATATTACTTATATTAATAAAAATTCACATGAGAAAACTATCAATGAGCTTCAAAAAATAAATTGATTTTCAATGATAGCAAATATTATATACTTTTAAGCTTCTAGCTCTAGACCATATCCTAACATTGGATTAAAATTGCAATATAAGTTAAATGCACCTTTTGTGCTTGACATGATACGGATAAATTAAATCATGATAACAAATAGTATGCATGAAATATACACTAAGAAAATAGTGTCACTGTTATCACGATAACAAATAGTATGCATGAAATATACACTAAAAAAAAGTGTCCACCGTTGAGATTAGATCATAAGACCATCAGTGTTTATCACCACTTAACTTCATGAGATCATTATATGATGCAACTAAATTACATAAACGAACTTCACTAATCTAAAATACCTTATTATTTTCACCTTACTTTTAATAATATTTCTTATGAACAAAAAAAAATTTACCAAAAAAAAAGAAAAAAAAAGGAATAACCGGTCTAACCCGAGTCAACCGGGTCGCCGGGTTTCGGCCGGGTCAACCGGTCCAATCCGGTTGACTGCAGAAGCGGTCCAACTACCCGCTCGGACTGGGGAACCCACCGGGTCACCGAGTTCCGGGTCAACCCGGCCGGTCCAAGCCGGGTTTTAAAACACTGCGAGAGTCCTTACATAAAATCACGTATTGAGTTACTAATTAGATATTACAGAGCATTGTTATAACACCGTTACATCATTATAGTATTAGGAAAATTGATCGTAATCTATCTTTCACATACATACTTTTAACCTCTGCTCTTTACTTACTATTATTATTTGTTTAATTTGTTAGCTGTAGTTTTATTACCTTTTACTCAATAAATCAATCAATAAAAATCATTGATTTCTTATTACCTTGCTTGGATTCACACATTATAAATCATATCCGCGGAACTGGACTCATAATCCTATATTATTTGCTGATAACATACACTTGTATTATGGTGTTAGATCATTATTCACATGCAACAAGTGCTCAAGAGGTACAAGAGAAACCAGCACTAAAGGCATTGGTTGCATTAACGGCAGATGACTGCACTAAAATGGAAAACTTAGGGGTTTGTTGTTGAAGCGAGACTCCAAGATCAAAGCTCTAATACAAAGTTGGAAAGAATAAACTGAAATAGTATTAATTTATTACATATAAAATAGGGATTTCCTTTCCTCCTTTTACATAAAAATCGTCAAATTTCCTGCTCACACAAAGAAATAATGGGTCCCGCCATTTTATAAAATAAAAAATAAGAAAAAAATAAGGCACAATTTCCTATGTTAGTGCAGGAAAAAGAATTCACTTTCCTCTTACATAACAAAAAGTTTACCGTATAAAATATGGGGTTTGATTTTCTCATGTTAAATGAGAATTCAATTTTCATGTTGTAGAGATAAGAAGCATGTGAGACCTATGTGTTAGAAAAAATTATATGTAGGACCCATGTCAGTACGGAAATCGAAGGGTGTGTAGAAAAATTTGAATTCTCATGTTAAATGAGAATTATAAAACCCATAAAATATATACATTGGGTACACTATTTGTAATAAAGAAGCTAATGAGCCTAAAGAAGTAAACCTAACTCCTAGAATACAATTTGGCTAATAAAGGAAATAATCTGGCTAATAAAAGAAAGAAATCAATTCAAATATTTTTCATATTAACAAATATCTTCTCCCCTGTTACTGAAGATATACTATACAGAGGAAAAATAATAAGAAAAATATACAAACAAAAGAAAATCCTTCCCTTGTTAGACGTGGAGAGCAACTTTTAACTGTATATGGTTGGTTTGTAAAACTAATTTGGTACTTGGGCTGTTTTTGGGGGGTGAACAAACCAAAATGCCGTTCTGTTTCAGCAGGTCCTTTCTGGTTTTCATCAAACATAGCAAATAAATATGTTTCAATGGGTTGATTAGGCCTATTTGGAGTCCCAAACCGCACATGATTGATCAAATTCTTATAATAGGCTTGTGCATTATCAACCGTTGCAGCAGTACCACCATCAGATGGCCATCCACTTTCTGATACTACAACTTCCAAATCAGGAGCACCAACCTTCTCAAGGGCTGCATAAAGTGCTCCAAGTTGTGCACTAAAGATATTCTGGTACTCATATTCTCCATCCTTCACCACAACTGTTGATGAGTTGAATAAGGCATAGCCAAGGTTGACATTATTTGTGTCACCTATGTAGCTAAAATAAGGGTACACATTGGCAAGAAGTGGTGCCCCATTATTCACAAGGAAACTAACAATTGGACTTATATATGAACTTGAAGATGGATTGAATTCTCCTGCAGATGGAGGATAGGAACTTCCCAGCAATGACAACTCTATAGCTGTTGAAACCTTAATTTGACTCTGTAGGTTGGCAGATGTAAGTGCAGCATAAATATTCTGCATTGCAGGGAGAACAAATTGTGATGTTGCTGATGTAGGATTTATTTCATTCCCAACAACAATGTACCTAAACTTGACATCTTGAGAGTAGTTTAGTATATTGTTTTGGACCCAATGAGTTGCTTCTGCTGCATCACTTGCAAGGGATTGAATGTCTTCATTAGGGACCCCAATGACAAGTTCTATGTGGGACCCTCTTAAGGCTTGAAGGGTTGCTGGATCAGGATCATATATTCTCATTTTTCTAATGCCATTTGATATGTAAAGATGTATAACTTCCTGCGCTGGTGGTAAATTGTTCGCTACTCGCCCATAGCACACTCCTATTGGTTGTTCTGCTGCATTATATAAAAAAAAAATTGAAGGTTGTAAACTAAACTAATTAAACACTATCCATTAAATCCCGATTACCGAGAATAAGAGTGAGAAAATTCTTGTACACAGCCTTTTCTGAATTTGAATTATTGACCTTTCAATCGCAAAGGAACAACTTATCCTTGGCTCAGGCTCCCCCTCTTAAAAATAAAAGAATTTAGGGTTAAAAGTTAAGACATAAAAATAATACAAAGGAGGATAAAAACTAAGGTCAAATAAAACGTTTACCTGTTGTCTGAAACACACTTAGTAGAAGAAGTAGAAGCACGAAAACCATATTTGCATGTTATGGAAAGTGTACGATTAACAAGACAAAAGGGAAGAACAGGAGATGACAAGTTTCCTATTGAGAGGATTTTTTTGTTTGGTTTTATACAATTCATGCATCTATTTATAGTTTTAGTGTTCAAGCACCATTATTAATGGCCTCGTGTACGAACATTAATATTGGTGAAGTCTTTGATCAATAAAGTCTCAATCTTGCAATCGCGCATGTGTAAAAGTGTCACATTATGTTATAATATAGTGGAATAGTATTAATATATGGTGTAATTGACACAATATTATGAATTTAGCTGTCACTAATTGGTGATTACTTCAATTGGATTGGAACTTGGAAGCACGTGCGAAATAGTAAATTACACATGATTCTCTTTATTAATTGGTTATGTTACACGGTAATTTTTTAAATTCAAATAATTAGAACAATAAGTTTGTAACAAGAGAAGCCTAAGTGGTTATAAACATAATAACAGAAACCATAAAAAGGTCTTGTTTGTTTGATTGTGTTTTTAATTTTTAATTTTCAAAATTATTTTGTAAAATAGCCTACAAGAACTGTTTTTTTAGAATAAAAGAAGGAAAAAATTTGTTTGGTAAAACTGTTTTTAGAAGAGTTTTAAAATTTAAAAGAAAAAAAATCTGCTTGATGATTTTGTTCTGTTAAACATGTTTTCAAAGAAAAACAAAAAACCTCATTTGATTAGTAATTTTCTAAATTTTTTTATGATTTTTTAACTGTGTAAAATTTTAGATATATTTTAATGAAATCTATTTTTGATACCAAAACAAATGATATTGTAATATTTTTTAAGATTAAAGTAACTCATATTATACAAGATAATGAAATTTTTTAACTGCAATTTTAAAATTAATTTTAGCCAAATGAAAGTAAACTATAATGCTATTGGTTTATTGAACATAAAAATAAAATACAATACAATAAAAAAAGTTCTGATGTGAGTAAACAAAATGTAAAAGTCAAAAACTTATTGTGGAGGCTGAATTTGGAAATCTTAGTTATAGTATGTTAAGGGAGAATTTGACTCTGTAATGCTTGATAATGTTTTCAGTTTAATCGGTGTTTGTTAATGAAAGGAAAGTTTTGGCTTTGGTTTTGATGTGCCATTTTAATTGCCAGTCTTAAGTGGATGAGATCAAATGATAATTTTGTGATTTTTATTTATTTTTTTGGTTCGTACGAAGGATTTTCCTTCTCACATTGCACCACTTGCAAAGCCCAATTTCATCTTAGAATGGAATTGTTTGAGGACGACTCTTTGCATAAAGTTCAGACTTTCATGGCAAGAGATGTTTTTCTTTTTTTCTAGTTGTACAAACTTTGAGTATTCTTGACTTTGTTTTTCATCCTTTCATGTTGAATGATTATATTTCCACAGTATTGAGTTAGGTTCAATTCAATCACATATCTGGTATATAAGTTCCTTTTTTGAAAACAAGAGTAAATAGAGATAGAAAAGAAAGCGAACTAATGCCCATTATGTCCTTGACGTGCGTTGTCTAACTCACGCAAATTATCGACCTTTAGGTTTAATGTAGTGATAAGGTAACTCGGATCGTCTCCTAAAGAACCTGCTTGAAATCAGAAACGTTCTGTAAAATTAAATATAAAAGGAAAAAGGGAATTTTGTTGATTTGAAATTTAAATAAAAACAGAATTGAAAAAGGGATTTAAAAATCAGAATTAAAAGCAATGAACCTAAGGAATTAGGATTCATTAATTCATTTCGTCATTGGATAAAAATATAATTATCAATTTGTGATTAACCCCAATTAAATTTGGAATCCTCAAATTTAATTGGAAACCCTCTCTAGACTATTGCCTAGCGTTTGGTTGAATACAATATTTAAACTATGCAATCGCAGTAATTTAAACCTGTTCAATTTATATTCATTGGGTTGGTTAATCTGACCATTAGATATAATTATCAATTTTCCTTTATAGAATGCAATCGCATTATTCAGTTTGAATACCTACAATCGCATGATATTCAATCTGAATTGGAAAAAACGAAATTGATTTAAAAGATTAAAACATATCCTCTGAAATAAACTAACGAACCTTTAATCCTTAGATTGATTAAAGGTGTTTAGCCTAGCATCGGGAGGTTAATCATCACTCAAAATAAAATAAAAGAGAAGAAGAAGAAGATGAAAAGAAAGAGTGTTCAGAATTTTGATAAAGAAACTCAAAACAATTGTTCAATTCCAAAATCTGACTGCCGAAGGGTTTCCTAAAGTTTCCCTTAAATAACCCACATTCAGAATGAACGGGTTAGGGTTCCACCACTTCGGCCCATACATAAAATAAAAACTTAATAAAATAAAATAAAACATTAAAACATGGCCTTGGGCCCTAAACACATTGGGTTCTAATTTAATTTACAAGTCAAAACATCAAAATAAAAATCCAGCAAAAACATGTCATCTTAGGCTTGGGTTTTGACCATCTTTATGTCTGAATTGGGCTTCAGTTACTGAAATAGAGATTGTAGCTCTTTCTGTTAGCTGCAAAACACAACAAGAACACAGTCAATCAGACATATTTAGAATGAGATATGACCGAAATAAGAAATTAGTGTAAATTTAGAAAATTATGACGAAAATCAATTAAACCCGATCAAAATCTAGAATTCTGATTTGACCCAAAAGACCTTTATTTAACTCAAATAAATCCTAAAAATACTAACCAAGAGTAATAAATAAGTGTAACAAAATATGTGTTATCAAATTCTCCCACACTTATCTTTTTGCACTCCTGGGCAAAAACTAAAACAGAAAGCAAAAACTAAGACCAACCAATCCTTTCTAACAATTAACAAGCATACAGAAAATACACAAAGATCACAAGTCTTTCACAGATAAACCAATCAGGACAGAAATTCTCTAATCTCAAATCACAAGACCTGTTAATTTCAACTGCACATGCCAATTACAGAAAATGGTTCCTTACAGGATGCTCTCAATATTTTTCTCTCAAGTGTATCAGGTAATCAGTATCACTCAAATCTACTGAAGAAAATCATTCTACCATAGGATTGCTCAAGTTCTACTTCTCCACTGCTACTAACACATGCATGCATAAATCAAGAGGGCTTTATGCAGGGTTGTAATGGGGCTGAGGTGAAGGTATGGATGAAATATGGAAAAGAAGGTTAAACACCCCAGAAATCTACAAGAGCAAAAGTTAAGAACTACACTAAAAAAATAAAAAAAGATAGAAATAAACACATATTTTTTTCTTTTTGCTCTTTTTTGTTTGTTTTTGTTTTTGTTTTTGAAAACAAAAACACATAGCAGAAAAGAATCAGATGGTCACCCCACACATAAACTTTTGCACGTCTCGGGCAAACCCCCCACACTTAAACACAACATCACAGTGAAACCAATGCTCAGTAGATCTCCAGGGTGTGAAATTAATTGATTTTTCACTTAGGCTTGTAATGTGGCTTAAGAAACAAAGGATATAAAGGCTCAAAGGGGCTCACCAGAGGATAATAATGTAAGGATGGATATCTGGCTAAAGTGGGTAAGAATAGAATAAAAGTGAATGCCTCAATCATATTCATGCATGTAAGTGAAAAATGCAGTTTCAAAAAGAACTGGAGCAAGTTCTAGAGAACAAAGATCAAGAGCAGAAACACACAAGAAAGAAAGAATGGCCAGAAGATGTATGCCATGTATAAAGGCTCAAAACCTCACAAGGATAAACCAAATCATGTAATCAACAACACAACATCAATCAACAGGTATTGCAATCCAAGAATCGAGATCAGAACCCAACAGACTATGCTATCAAACACTGTGATCTAAGTCTACTTCATGTATCACTCAATAATTACCAGAAAGAAGAGGAAAATCTACCTATGAAAATCAAAAACTAAAAGAAAGAAAAAAAAATAAAAATAAAAAATGCAAATAACAGAAAGAAAAGAAAAAGAGGGAAGAGAACTCCCTGAACTCCCTAAGGCTGATGTGGTGTTCCTTCATAGAAGGGCTTCAGACGATGCCCATTCACAGTAAATGTGCTCCCAGTCTGTTTGTCTTTTAATTCAACTGCACCATAAGGAATGACATGAGTAATAACAAATGGGCCATTCCATCTTGATCTAAGCTTACCAGGCATGAGCTTAAGACGAGAATTAAACAGTAGAACATTTTGGCCCACTACAAACTATTTCCTCAGGATCTGCTTGTCATGGAATGCCTTTGTTTTCTCTTTATATATCCTGGAACTCTCATAAGCATCCAATCTCAGCTCTTCTAATTCTTGCAGCTGTAGTTTCCTCTCCACTCCTGACTAGATGAGATCCATGTTGCATTGCTTCACAGCCCAATTTGATTGATGCTCCAACTCTACCGGAAGATGACATGTTTTTCCATAAACAAGTCGATAAGGGAACATCCCAATTGGAGTCTTGTAGGCAGTCCTATACGCCAATAAAGCATCTTCAAGTCTCTTGCTCCAATCCTTCCTATTAGAATTAACTATTTTCTGAAGGATTTGCTGTTTGAGACTTCAGTTTGGCCATTGGTCTGTGGATGGTATGCAATGACTACTTTATGAATTACACTATATTTCTTGATTAATCCAGCCATGTTTCGGTTGCAGAAGTGAGAACCTTGATCACTGATAATAGCTCTAGGAATGCCAAACCTGCAGAAAATATTAGATCTGACAAAATCTACAACAACAGCAGAGTCATCAGTCCAGGTGGCTTTCGCCTTAACCCATTTAGATACATAATCAACAACCAAAACAATGTATGTAAATCCAAAAGAAGCAGGAAAGGGACCCATAAAGTTAATACCCTAAACATCAAAAATCTCACAGAAGAGTATAGGGTGCTGAGGCATTTCATGCCTACGAAAAATACTACCTGCTCTCTAACAATTATTGCAAGACTTACAATACTCATATGCATCTTGAAACAGAGAAGGCAAAAATAAACCAGAATCTAAAACTTTCCTAGTAGT